GATTATCTGCTGGGAAAGCCACATATGACATGGAGGCACAGAAGTGAAAATAAGAACGCAAAAAGGAAGAATAGGTCCTTTTTGTGCTGTCTGCATAACACAGGGATCTATAATGTTGAATCTTTTTGTCTAAGTGTTCCTCTCTGGCGCTGGTACCTGTTAATAAACAATTTTAAAGTGTCATCAGACATATGGTACTTAAAGAATTTTTGTAAACTATTGTTATCATGCGGAACTATAGAACCTGCACAGATTATGCTGAACCAAAACAAAAAATGACCCAATCTGTCCATCCTTGATATGGCATCTGCCCAGATGTTGGTATGTCCTTGAATGTGCCTACATTGGATAGAGAAATTGTATATTACCGAGAGCCAAAAGACAATACGTAACTGGCTCATAATCACAGGGTCACGTGTAGCACCTTTGTTTATGGCAGCTCTAGTAGTCATGTTATCGGTATTAATGATGACAGATTTGTTAATCCAAGTAGGTGCCCATCTGAATATAGCAGCAATCACTGCTATGGTTTCCTTCCTGTTAATGTGATAATCCCTGGCATAGTGGGCATCTATGTTCCAATCCAGATAAGCCCAATCATCTCTGCAGACCATGCCAGCCCCCATGGCTGAGGCATCAGTATACACGTGGACAGTTTCTCTGTGTGGTATGATTAGCTGTTTACAATTAAAGATTTGTATGCACTGTGTCCACCAATCAATATCCCCTTGAAATTGCTCATCTAATCTTGCCTTATGCTTTGCTTGCTTAATTGGTCTTAGTGTGTCTAAAATCCGCTGGAGGTAAGCCCTACCCCCTCGAATGATAGCGCACGCCCATGACAGCTTCCCCGCTAACTGTTGCAGCTGCTTTAGAGACGCCCGTCTCCTGCTTTTAAATGATCTCAGAACCGTTAAAAGATTTTCTACTTTGTTCTGCGGGAGTGACATAGTCATTGTTGAGGTATTAAACTGAATGCCCAAGAAGGTAAGTTCCTTTGTTGGTCCTTCTACCTTATCCCAAGCAATACTAAAACCCAGCTTTCTCAATAAAAATATCAGAGTGTTCATTGCTTCAATGCACCGTTGTTTTGTTGGCTCAATTATTAAAAAGTCATCTAGGTATACCACAGTCTGGAAACCCCTCTTGGACATCATTCTCCTTATAGATTGTGACAGTCGATGGAAAATTCCCGGTGATTTTTTGGAACCAAATGGTAGTGATGTGTCATACATATATGTGAAATCATTGTGTCCCTTGAATTTCCATTTTAATCCCATGAATTTATACTGAGATGGGTGTATCCTGACACTCCGGTATGCCGATTTAAGGTCCACTTTACTTAAATAGGAGTTGTGTTTGATGAGTCTTGTAGCATCACTGGTGCTTTGGTATTTCACTTTATCATTTAATATGGCATAGTCATTTACTGCTCCTCCTTTTGGTTGGCTACAGTCATGAATTAATCTAATTCCACCATTTGTTTTCTCTATAGCACTTAGTGCACTCACTATGTCAGGTTTAGTCTCTGATAACACATACCTCCCTTCTTGAATTTCTGTTTTTATCTGCTTTTCAACCTCATGTTTATACCGTTCAGTTGATTTAGAATTGTTCATTTCAACTATTGTCTTCACAGCTTCACTATCTACAATTTTAAAACCACTTAAAATGCCTTCTAATAGGAATTCTCTATCCCAGTCTCCTTGAAGCTCCTCTTCCCACACTGAGTACTTAAGCGGCTGGCCAATGACCACATTGTCTAGTTTCCCTGGCCCAAATGATCATTTCCTGGTTGCATCCCATGTTGGGCAAGTGGGTGGCTTTTCCTGCAGTTTGGTGCAAGGCAAATGTGTTCATACCTGCATGACTTCCCATAGGGACACTGGCCTCGGTTGTATAAGCGGCATATTGTGTTCTTCTGAGCTGGTGCTGTGCGTGGAGGGTTCATAGTAGGACTTATCTTCTGTCTCAAATGCAGCGCAAACAGATGTGGGCTGTCACTTCCCCACCTAAATTTATGGGTGGCTTGTAACTCCCTATACGCCTTGTCATAAAGCATGACCGATATCCATTGGTAAGTTTCAGCCAACTGGCCTACTTTAACTGTATATGCTAGATAGTCATACATGCTTGTTTGGCTCAGTTCACCCGTAGTAAGCAGCTTTGCAAGGATGCGTGTGTTGGCTGTGGCCCACTGAATCTGATTCAAGTTTTCCAACTTGGCTTTCTTAGGTCCAGTCCTGATAATTACCTGCGCTGCCCCTTCGTTTCCTACCACCTGTTCTACATTTTCCGCATCGAAAGCTTGTACAAAATCCACAATTTGTAGTGCTTTAACCGATGTTGTGTTAAATAAATAGTTTGTTGGGTTTAGGTCTACCCTCTCACCTTGGTAAGTCTCCCGTCTATCCCCCCGGTCTACAGCACCCACTGGATCCTCTAACAGCCTTCCCAACCTGGTGTTCAGCTCATCTGTGGATTGTGGCATGATGTTGGTGACTGCAGGATGGGGTTGTGCCTCTGCATTTCCAGGATTGTTTCTACTTATTATAGCAGCTTCCAACAGCCTCCTCTCGCCTAATGTTTGAATCCCTATTTCCCTTATGTCTTCTACTCTCAGGAGGTCCAGCGCTCTCTGGGATGAGAAACCATTTGTCAACAATTTTTCCTTTGTCTCTGGCCCCAGACCATGTTTCTCCACAAAACTTTCTAACTCCATTTTTTGATTTATGCTAGCTCCGTTTTGAATATTGGCTTCTTCTGTATGTTCAGTTCTCAACTCTTGCTGAATCTCTTCTCCGATTTCTGGTCTCACTGCCCTAGCAATGTCCATTAAATAAGTGTCCCAACTTGAAAATTCCCTTAAACTCATTACCCTTCAGATT